CCGGAACCAAACATAAAGATCTTGTAAAACGCAGGAGTAAGTTAGGCTGGTAATGATTAGGATTTATACCTTCCTTAGATGTCAGTACAGTAAGACAGTAGCGCTCAAAATTAACAACAAACAAATTTCATAATGTAAACACTAACTGGCGCTAGTGAGCTAAACCAGTCCATGCCAGGCCAACGCTACTGTCCTTGTACTGGCATATTATAAACCAGGTATTTTGTTTGATTATTTGACGTTTAAATAAATTACCTACGTAAATAATATTTGTTTATAGAACGCTTTACATATTGAATGAAGACGGCGTGATTAAAAAACATATTATCGTGGCTAATTGTGACAAAAACAAAAGAAATATAATCTTCGAGTTTTCAACGAAACAATTGCGTTAATATATATTGTTATCCCTCTTTTTTCCTTAGAAGATGAGAGTGATGAATTAATGATGAAATTTAGAGTTATTTGTCAGTGATGACAATCAAAGACGGATTTTCATTTTACTCCTTTACAATGTCTATGACATGACATATTAATAAAAAAAAAACCTTGAGATATGAGTCTTAACTTTTTCTTTCTAAAAAACCGCAGAAAAGAAACGAAATTATGCACGACCATTTAAATTAAAAATCAGCTTTAAATACCTACCTTACCTTATACCTAGTTATACCTTTTGAATGATTGTCAAAGGTTCAAAAGTGAATGAATGATATTCAATTGTACGATTGAAATAAATCGTAGCTATTATCTAGAAATATAATGCTTATATTATTATCATATTCTATACAAATGGAGAATTTATTGCTAGAATCAATATAATCATTTGACTCATGTATTGTATGCGATGTGATCAATTATTTTTCTGTCGCACTCACAGATTTGCAACGATTACTTAACCAGTCCCTTATTGTAGTTTATTTATCACTAAATATACCTTAGGATTCTCTAAGGATTTTAATAAGTTAGAAAAGTTGCGAATGTCTTGTTAACCTAAAAGATAGGTATATCATGTGTAGAAAAATTATATATCCGTGTCCTAAACTTCACTCCTGCCAGAACCACTTTCCCTTTCCATCCTTTTCTTAACCGAAAAGGATAGAGTATTATGATTAGCATCCGGCACACGCGTACCTTAGGGAACATACCCGTACTACGTGACCTATTTTTTAGTTTTTTCGACCCCTTCCTCCCCTCGGTGACCACTCGTAGTGCAAGACAAGACTAAAGGGGGGGGAGTCTTTAGTTTGTACCCAGTAATTCATAATTATGATTTTTAATCATTTCACAAATATGAAAAAAAAATTGGCCCATACTCGTCTTTATTGCATAAGACTGCATGCATACTTAAATTAATAGTGAATTATTAATTATGAAAAAAAAACAAGTAACAACTACGTGACAAAAACCTGAGCCACCCTCCGCTCCTGTGACTGACCGTAGTATTTTAACACCCCCCCCCC